CCTTCTTGTCTCCTGACAACTTAGTTTTGTTAGAGTCTTATGTGGGAACCAACAAGGATTTGAAAACCCAGCCATGCTTCTCAGTTGAACTACTTTCCTCCACATGCTCACTGAGTCCTGAGAACTGAATTCATGTAAGCAAGACTGTCTTTGCAAAACCATCCTATGAATTTTGTAAGGTGCTGAGAGATGAGAGGTGTTAGAAAATCATAAAGATTATCTAGGAACAAATTCTCCAAAGTTATGTTGCTGTCTGATTTCTGTTGATTCCATTTTGTGTTCAAGTCTAAATTTATTGTGGTTTTCTAACTTTGTGCTTATGAATGCCAAAAGGAAACTTTCCCTGATGTTTTCTACCCTACACCTAAAATTAATCTTCTAAGTCCTTGAAATTTGATTAAACTAGATAGTCATTTAAATTGTTTGCCCACCATATGTTGCAAAAGGAGTAGCAAAATTAAAAGAATAAATCACATCAGAAAGTTAAATACACTGTTTGAAGCCAGCCTCTCTCTCATTTTCCTCATTGTTAAAATGAGTCAGTGCTAACAATATTTAAAAGTGAATATTTAAAAGTGGTCTGGACAAAGAACATTGTAGAGAAAGTGATGCATGCAAGGCAGGGAATTGGCTGATTGTCTAAACTGTTTTTTCCCATTCTTGATTGCTTTGGCCTGAATTTGATGGTATGAATTACACTCTGGTCATGATGGAGTAGAAATTAAAGATTTACAAAAATGGAAGATGAATAGGAAAACCATATCAAACCCTAGATTTAGATGTTGCCAATTGTAAAGCCAAGGCAAAAGAATCTAGTGCCATCACATTGCAGAGCAAATGAAAACGATTAAATTTATAAAAGGAAATTAACAATTTGGGAAAAAAAAATCTATCTTGAGGAAAATTGTTTAAAGGCAACATCTAAATATGTTCAGTATAACACCATAAGATAATACACATAACCCTATTTAGGAAACTAGGTGGTGTTGAAAATGTGTTTGTAGGAAGCATTTGCCCTGTTCCCAGGCAATGTTATTAGCTTTTCAGAAGATAATTATAATATACTCAGGAATGTGAACATCTGAGAGAAAAATAGTAAAAGAACCTTTTCATTTTACTATTTATTTATTTATTGTTTTTCATCCAACTTGTGACTCTTTTCCCCAGGTCTTTATCAAGGGCAGATTGAGTTGTGGGTATGTATTATGCAAGACTATTTCAAATTCCTTTAGAAGGATTAAGTAAGTCAATTTAATAGCTGGGATTCTGCCACTCTGGTTTCAGTGGCTTCTAAGCACTCTTTGATTTCAGTTTCAAAATCTGTAAAAACACAAATAACCCAGAATTGAAGCAAGCAAGATCCTGTTTTGTTTAAAATGAATGTTGTATGTGTGTCAACTGATGAAAACAAAGATAGAAATGTTTGCAATGAGGTTTGCACTTTTACCAGTGACTAAGCCAGTGAAAAATACAAACAGAAGACTGTCTTCAGATGAGACTACACAGTGGGGTATTTGAGACTGTGGAAACTGAATATGATCTTGGGAATGAAGAGCGATTCTGTATCCATGTTAGAAAGTACCTGAGGTAGTATGCCCAGTAGTTCCCCAAGCCTCCAGGCAAAAGAAGGCTGTTAAGGGAAAGTGCCTGAGGTCAATTCTTCATCTCACACACTAAAACATGAAAAAAAAAAAGGTTCTCTTTGTCAAAGAAACTAAGCTTGGTATCCTATTTCCGCGACTCCTCCCAAAAATCTTTTATGTATGACAGAATATTGGAAGATACTCGGAAATGTCACATTATAGCTTTGCAGTAATAAAAAGTGCTTTAAGTATACTCTCTTTAACCATATTTGTATTGCTAAAATAAACCACATTGGGTATTTAATTGTTCCTGGGGCCATGAGGTATCACCACATGGCTCATGACCACAGTATGTAGTGCTAGGTTTCAGTGGAGAAGTTATATTTTGGAGAAAAGTTGCCCATTTTGTCCACACCAGAGTGAGAAAACCTGTAAGCAGCATGGACCCTGAGGTTCCAGTGCTAGGGTTTATTCCATCTCTCTTTCTTTGAGCAGCAGAGAGGAAGTCTTTCATTCCTTCCTGCTTCGTTTTGGGTGGAGCAGGTTCAAGGGCTTAGGGGACCGACAGAACATACATCTCACTCCAATAGTACTCGAAACATATCCTCCTCACTACATTGAGGTCTTTCAGGTTATGCCTGGTCAGATGGGAGAGCCCTGATGGTGTCAGGCATTGTCAGTGAGAATGCAGATGCTAGCAGTGCTTAGAGGGCTAACAAGTGTCAGACTGCAAAGCCACTTCAACACATGGAGGGCCTTACTGTTGAAAACCATGAGATGGGGATGGAGCTGAGGGCCACCAGCTGTGCTTTTTAAGGGCTCTCTGGTTTCACTTGCTTACAGAAGGACATAAATCACAGAATCACAGCATGTTTGAGGTTGGAAGGGACATCTGGAGATCTTTTCATCCAACCCCCTGCTCAAGAGGAGTCTAGGTGCTACTAGTACCAATTTTCTGTTGGAAAAAAGTAGCCGAGTGGAAACTCAGGACTATTTCCTTCATTAGTTATTTAGGCTTTGTAATGAATTTTTCTGGTAAACATAAAAGCTACTGATATGCACACTTTTTGCAACCAGCAAACACCAGCATGTTGGGAGAGTAGGTACAAGCTGATTCAAACTTTCATCAGGGAGAAGGAAATTGAAATCTGCTCAAGCAGAAAAAGCAGCTGAGCACACACTCCTCATATCCCAGAAGAATACTGTACCTCTTGTATCCAATGTAAATTGGCATCTATGAAAGTCCTAAATAGAAAGGTAGCATGGGGAAACTTTCCTCTGGATTTTAAGAAACAGAACTGATACAGTCAACCGTCTGCTGGGAGGAAATGTAAGGCTCTGAATACTGTTGGGAAACAGATGGCTTTTTACTACTAAGGGTTTTATGCTGAAGAACTGGTAGCATACAATTTAAAGGTAATTTTCCCTAATCTTAGATGGCTTCTCACTAGGGTTACAATAATGTAAGCTCAAAAATAGGGCTGTAATATTGAAGATGAACTGCTCAACCCCTCAAAATAAAGCTGTGGTTCAGCAGGCATGGAAGTCTGGCTTTCCAAATCCTGCATGAGGTTCAGTATATTTTACTTCCCCCCATAGGTCCCTCACTAGTAACAGAAATTAAACTTTAAAAAAGGTGAATAAAGTACATATGGTAACACAGCTGCTCAAAATCTGTTATCTTTTTAATCACCTTTCATCTCCTGTGTGTGCATTTTATCCTTCAAATTCAGTAAAAAGGGAAAGTGCAGTGATGGCAGCTCCCTGTATTTTTGGAGGACGTTGTGGTGTTGTTGAATCATGCAAGAGAAGTCTTGCATAAATCTATCCAGAACTTAGGTATCAGTGGCTTTATCTTTAGAATAGTCTATATATTTATAAGCATCTAGACAAGCAGAATTTGGGGTTTTTCACAGAGGAACTGCAAACTGTATATAGATAAAATTGAAATAAGTGAAGTCTAAACTTCTTTTTCTTAATGATGGTGGTCTTCAGAGATGAAAGAGATATGAATCCTGGATAGGTGCTCAAACAGCCTTACAGTAATGCACCTGTTCATGGGTAAACTGTAGAATAGTCTTCAGCCTGAAGTGACAAGGTCTCAAAAGCACTGTTTATTGCTTATTCTCCTTCCATAAGCACTCAATTCACCTCAAAGTGAATTGAAAAATATCCTTATTTGATATTTTTGGATCTCACCTCTGGTTATTCTCATTTGCATGTTAGCTCTGAGGTAAGGAGAGCAAACCTGATGATATAGCTAAATCCAGTGCTATAGACAAGAAGAGAGAAAAATGAAATTATTGAAAGCAGTGCTGCTATGAAGGAGCAATTATTTACATCCTGGTTTGGAGTAAATTGTTGTGAATCCCTATCCCAAATTCAGCAAACATGCTCTTTATTCAGTATATTACAGCTCTGATGTTTTTTTCTTGCACTCTCTTATTCTCTGTTACGATCAGAAGGTTGTGGGTTAGTGAGAAATATGAGGGAGTATTCCAAGTGAGTGAGCTGCTTGTGATCTCAAGAAGAGGTCATTTAAATTCAACAACGAAGTATTTGTCAGTGGAGGAGAAAGTGTTTAGGGCATGCTGCCAGATGCCAAAATAAAAAAGAATAAAACTGGTTTTGTTTCCTTTATGGAGGGCTTCAAGTGACTGTTAACTCTTATATTACTGTGTTATCAGACAGGAGATGTGGCTGTGAGATTTTACCAGCATAAACAGCCTCAGACTTTTCATCATACAGTCATGATGATGAAGTTAAGTGCTAGATACTCATCTTTCTAAAACCACTTATTATGTATTTAGACAAGAGAAAGAAAGGAGTTCTGCAAGGTGGTTCTATGTTAGCTTGCAGTATTGCACCTAACTTCCTGTTACCTCTAAATCCAAGCATTCAGTGTCCTTCAAAGTACTGATTCTCAGAGCATTCCTATGAGCATGGGGGACGATATGATCAATCCTTGTTTTGTAGATCTGGGATGGAAGTGCAAGACTGCAGTTAGACTTGCCAAAGATATTCTCTTCCATGAGCTTTGGCCCCTGGATGCCCAGACCATTCAAATCAACACTGCCAGAGCAGACACCCTGCTGCCAACATAACTAGGTCTGCTTGCTGCAGCAAGTCCAAGGAAATGAGGAATCTGTGAAGTCATGGGGCTGAGATACAACTGGCTACTCATTTGACTTGGTTGTCTTGGTCACAGAGAAAAGCTCAGGTTCACAAACATTGGCAGTCTCCTTATTTCCTTGCCTTATTGCTTGAGCTTTAATTACTTGTCTTTTAAACCTGTATTTTGTATTAATCAGCTGTTTTACTTAGGTGCTTTGGAGGGGTGCATCTCAACTTCTCAAGTGTATGGCATGCTTGACAGACAGGTGATTGTGTCTCTCATTTGCCTTCTTTCTCTCCCAGGAAGATGAGGTTGCTCGTGACAGTCGATTCAATTTCAGTGGGTATGGCATGGGTCACTGTCTCCAAGTCAAAGACGGCGCAGCAGTCAAGGCTACTCCACCAAACCCACCTCCAGCACCACCAAAGGATTCAGATTCCATCAAAAAGAAGTTTGTTGACCGTGCAAAAAGGATTGATACAATATCCCGTGCTGCATTCCCACTCGCCTTCCTCATTTTCAACATCTTTTACTGGATTACATACAAAATTATACGGCATGAGGACATTCACAAGAAGTAGGAAACTGGTGTGCCAGGATTTGTCAGCCAAAGTGAACCACATGTAAATAAACAATGAAATGTCTCTGTTATTTGGATAAAGGGTTTCTTTTTCCCCTCAGGACTCTGAAGAGAAAATGAAAAAGGAAAAGAATTATAGAAGGAAATGTGATTGCATGAAACAATATACCTGAGACCAGTCAATAAGAGTTCCCCTTATGTACTGTCAGTGTTCTTCTGCCAGATTCAGCATTGACCAGACATCTGTAAAAGGGGCCAAATTTTACTCAACTTTATCACCAAGATACTATTGCTTGAAACAAAAGAGAATCAGAAAACAAACAGCGCTCCTAAAACATCTACCAAGAGACTGTGGTGGCTACAGTGCAGTGAGTTATAAGAGGACCAAACTTTTTCAGGATAATGTTGCCTTTCTATTTGAAACAAGTCTACTGAGCTACATTCCATAACCATGTCTGTAGTTAGTGGTTTCACCAAGGAGTCCTTTTGTGGGTTGTAAATTATTTCTACTGACAAAGGAGAGGAAAAACAAAAACAAACAGATTTATACTTTACTATCCTTGTGGGTGTGCATTTTAATATTATCTTGCTTTACTAGAATTGTAATTTTGGGGTTGAACTTGTGTGTTGTGTAATTTATTTGATAGTTGACACTCCAAAACCAGTGAGACTGCCCAGTTTATTTTTGCTGGAAAACAGTGCACTTACTTCATTTTATTTCTGCTAATTTTACATGCAACTTGAGGTGCCAAATTGTATTTTACCTATTGTGCTACCCTGTACCACACTACGTAGTAAGAACTTGGTTCCTCAAAGGTGTAGCTCAGTTTAGCATTGAGTTTCTATTATTGCTCTCATTGTAGCTGCGATCAATAGCTCTATAGGTAAACACAACTTGTTTACAGACTTCTAATTTATATCTTTACTCAAAGTGGCTATCATTTTAAATATCATAATTAACCTAAGAATTTTAAAACTGTACTGTGATTTTCAGAACCTGTTACCTTTTGGTGCCGGATCTGCATTATTCAAATCCTTGCTACATGTTTTAAAGTAGAAAATAAAACTTAAAAAAAAAAAAAAAGATGGTATTTTTGCTTACACAGAAGAAGACAACCTGTAACATAAAATGAATCAAACATTAAAATTTTACACTTGCTGTAAAAGGGTTTATTAAGAAAAATAAAAGGTATTTGTTCAATTCCAATAAAGCTAAATGTGCTACTATCATTTCCTATGCTCTTTTCTTCATTTGCAATAGAGCTGTTCTCACCAGGGCCCAGCTCTTCCACTGTTCCACTGCTCTGTCAAGAACAAGATGGTCAAAAGCAATCTTCTGCTGATCTGGTCTACTGTGCCTAATTTTGTATCAATCCTACAGTAAAAGAAATGCTGATGTCCCTGGGATGATGTCAATGAATGTCTCAAAAGTGCAGCTAGAATGTGACATATTCCACAAGTCATGCAAGGCTGAGTCCAACCTGAGCAGCTTCCACCAGCTGTACCTCTTATAACTAGAGAGGGAATCTAGAGGTCTTGACACGCTAATTCCCAAGCAGTTATGTAAATTTATGACAGAAAGCCAAAGTTGTATACGTTAACCTTACCCTACTCATCTGTAAACATCCCCGTCACTTGCACTTGTGACTGAATTGCAATAGCTTGCTTCATGTCTTTGAGACTGAATCCAGATGTGGACTTCTCAGCACATGGCTATAAGCATCAACTAAATAGTTTGCTAAAATACATTCTGCTGATCAAGTTTGAGGTATGCTGATAACACTCATCATGATACAGAAGAGTTCTTTGGTGTGCTGTGCAATGTTCCTCTGAACCATCTCACTCAGAGGGGATTTGATAGCAGGCTGGTATCAGAGAACTTTCCCTCAAAGAGCATGACTGGCACCAAGAAGATTTAAACTGGCTGCAAAACTGCCTTCAGATAAAAAGTCAAATAACAATGGTAGGTTGCCTTGCAGAAGGACACAGCTTTCCTAAATGAATGCTGAGTAGATTTACCAGAGAAGTAAGGACTGAAGAAAGCAGTCATCTCGCACTCAGAGAAGTAGTAGATTAAAATAAGAGTAGTTCCATTTCAAGTCACTAATGTAAGAGGAAAAAGAATGGCTTAGAAAATAAGTCCCAAACAAAAAGTCTGTGAAGTAGAAAATACAGTAGGATGGAAGGAAGGAGATCCAGGATTAATTCTGAAGAGTGTGCAAATGCATTGGTAAAGCTGCAGGACAAAATTCTAGCTAGTAAGACAAAATGAATCCCTGAGACATTTAAACTACTCACATTTAGCTGTAAAACAATGATAATGACTTCTAATTTATCAAGAAAACATGTCTTTAAAGCAGGTCTTCAAGACTGTAGCATCAGGTCAGCTCTTTGGCATGCTGTTGTGACTGGCTGGACTTGACTGGTTCAGTACTTGAGGAAAAAGATTAAGTCATCTCCTACTGGATAGATGCTGTCATGCACTATGACAAAGCCGAATCAATAATAAAAAAAAATCTTTAAGAAAAATCTCATTGCCATAGAAGGAAAGTGTCAAAAATGTGCAATATGAGAGATCTCTTTTTGCTTCTCTGTACTTTTTCTCCATGTTTTTTTTTCAGGCTTCAGAGCCATCACTTATGATGCTCTGAATCATAGGTCATAGGTGTTATAGCAATAGAAGCTTTTAGAGTCTCACATGAGTTACTGACAATTTATAACTGTTGGGGGGGGAAATCCAGGGATATATGATGCCTCTGGGGACAGATTTTTTTCTCCTGCTGCAGAATCGAGGAGTAAAGGCCAACCCCACTCCTCCACAGGCACTGTGACTTTCTTGCCCTGCTTCACTTCTTCCCCAGCATGAGATGCAGTAGGAAATAGGCAACAGGAAAGAACTGATGGGAAAATTATATTTAGCTACTGCAGGCTGAACTGCCAGAGCCCTTCATCTTTCTTCAAACCTGTTATTGATATTGGTGGCCCAGGAGCTGCTGAGCAAAGGTGAGGCAGCAGCCAAAACTTACAGCCTTAAATAAGTGATGTTACTGAAAACATTCTGGAGGAACGTGGAAGTAATCTGTGTGATTGCAGACATTGGTGTTTCCTGCAAAGGACTCTCATTGTGCTGAAGTAGTATCCTAATCTCAGCATCAGGGTTCTGCATCACCTGAAGTCACATTTCCTTTCAGTATCTAAAGGGAAGCTATAAGAAAGAAGGGGACAGCATCTTTAGCAGGGTCTGTGGTGGTAGGACAAGGGGAAATGGTTTCAAACTAAAAGAGGAGAGGTTTAGTTTGGATATAAGGAAGAAGTGTTTTATAAGATTGGGGAAGCACTGGCAAAGGTTGCCTAGAGAGGTGATGGATGCCCCATCCCTGGAGGCAGTCAAGGTCAGGCTGGCTGGGCCCTGAGCACCCAGATGTAGCTGTAGCTATCCCTGCTCATTGCAGGGAGTTGGACTAGGTGACCTTAAATGGATCCTTCTAACTGAAATGATTCTATGATTCTACAATTCATGAATATATTCAAAAGATCTGACTCAGCACAATATTGACATTTCTATGTTTAGAAATATATTTCTAAATAGAGAGAGAAATAAATTTAATGTGTGGGCATAAAGAGAATATGTATAGCTTTCTAATCCTTACTCTTTAAAATTAGAAAACAGCAAGGTACAAAGAAAAGAAAGTTATAGGATGAGATCACCATTACAAAAAATAGCATGGAAATATTTTAATGAATCTATTCATTTTCATTATCTATAATCCAATATCTTAAAAAATAACAGCTTCTTCCAGACCTTCAAGGTAATTTATTCTAATGTTTTTCGACATAGAAGTTCATGTCTTAAACTTTTTTTGAGAATTGGAATGCCAAAACCAAGGCTGCCTGAAGGAACTCCTGCCTAGAAGAGTAATCTGAGCAGTCACGCTTTCTCCATAAATGCCCCCTACAGATTTTACTTTAAAAATTAATCTTCTCTGGCTTGACAGGAAGAGAAAAGGAAGATATTTATGCAATTTGAAGATACTTCTACTTTTGCATGGAAAATGTGAAATGTCATCACATTTAGGGCTAAGCCGCAGAACAGGAGCAGTTTCACCAGTTTCAGACAAACTTATATAGCCAATTTGCTTCTAATTCCAATGCAGTGCTGACTGAAATCTGAAGGAAAAAAAAAATTTGTAAGTGCTTCGTTGACTTCACCAGCTTCCAGATCATTCTCTAATGAAGGATAAGTTTCCAATGCTAAGCAGCAGAAATAATCTAGGAGGGAAAATATTCAGAGTGGATTAGCTCTTTTCAGTATCCTCTAAGGAAGAATAGAAATTTGAGTCAAAACAAGCATCTCAGGTAATAATTAAGAAAACTGACTTAGTGAAAAGCATACATTTAGTTCCATGAGTTCCCACTGAAACAAAAGTGCTCAATTAATATTCTTGCTATGGAGAAAGCCCATGAGGCAGTATAAATGAAAAAGAAGTGAATTCTGGGGATCCTGACAGCGTTTTACTTGCGCTAAACACTATGTTTTTACTGATACAAATGATATAAAATCCTCTCTTGTCATCTGAACAGCTATATAACTGATTCAAAACCACAGCTTTTTCAGCTTACTAAAAGATCTGAATCTGACTTTTAGCAAAGTTCTAGGATGGTGGCGGTTGGAGCCATTGCTCCTCTTTCCACTGTCTGTGAAAAGCTATGCGACATCTGAGGGCCCAGAGGGGGAATATGCTCCTTAGTAGCTCTTAGTGACAGTGCATTGACACAAAGGTGAAAGTTCCACAAATTTCTGCTTTGCCTTTTCTTTGGCAAATGAATTAAAATGGATCCAGGGAAAACAGATTCATTTTCCCCCAGGCAACTCAGAATGCTAATCTTGACAACACTGTAGCAGAATCAATGCCATCTTTGCACTTTTGGTCCTGGGAAATTCTCGTTTTTGAGCTTCAAGTGCCCTTCGTCTGCCTTACATGGCCCCTGAGAGGGAACAATCCAGAGCAATCCGGATATGCCCTTGGAAAACAACTTTAATGGTCATTACACAGAACACCGTGGCTCCAGGGTGGGGAAGTGAGAGCAGAGAAGGGAAGATGCAACACCAGTGTTTGGTGTGGGAGAAAGGCCACATACATAGATTTTCACTGTGCTCCTGAGGACCAAACCTAGGACATGCCGTTCATAAGGCCTCTGAGGCTTGCAGCATATTCTGAATCTAAGCGTGCTGTGGGTTGACAGCTCAGAGATAACTTTGTCAGCACACTCAGCCTATCCCACCCCCAGATGTTCAGTGGGTAGCTCCAGAGTGCTGTCAATGAGCAGGTCAGGGAAAGAGTCAGTCAGTGCATGTATCAACTCAGCACAGCATCCCTGAGCAAAACCTGTCAGGGGGAATGGAAGAAAGGCCACTATCAGAGATGAGAAATGGACAAGAAATAGCCAAAAGCAAAGCAGAGGTGAGGCCAGGAGCTGAACTCCCTCCAGATAATCCTAATGAG